GAAATAATTCACATATAACAAGTATCTTAATTATGGGCCAAAATTCCTTTCTGAGGACAAGACAGTTTTTATCAGTGAAACTACCAGACACGTCCATTGCTTCTGCAGTGTTTCCTCAGACACCTCAGACAAATACCTAGAACTCACTGTCCTCCCACAATCACCATGGATTTAACTGCTACATTTTCTTGAGCTGTTGATTATTAGGGAAATTTTTAAAATATAGTCCTGAGTGGTGCACACACTCCCAGTGTATCTTGGGACAAATCACACGGTAATCCCGCCTCACTGCCGCAGTCACTCCTGAGTTGTTTTAAAACAGATCATTCAAGTTAGAATAAGCTTGGGAGACAACCTGGAAGGGAAAACAAGTCACTGAAAGCAGTGTGCCATCGGTGGGGTGGCCCTCTTTGCTTTGAGGGTGGTGCGAGGCACAGCAGGAGAGGTGCTGGTGGCATCTGCAGAGCTTCATAGCTGCCCTCGTTCCCCTGCTTGCCTGGGTGCCCCTGGGGGATTTTTTTCCTGAAATCTCAGAGCCATTTCTGTTGTGTCACTTTTGGAATCATGGGAATAGTAGTGCCACCCAGACCACCTTCTATTCTATTTTGCCATTTTAAAAACCAGCTTGTTGAGATCTAATTCACATATCATGCAGTTCAGCCATATGAAGTATACAAGTCAGTGTCTTTGGTCTGTTCATTAGGTTATGCAACCATTACCACAATCAAATTCTATAACATTTCATCCCCCTTTAAACAGCCTGCCGATAGTCAATCCCCCTTCTCCCCGCCCATCCCTCAACTCTAAACAACCACGAATCTACTTTTTGTGTCTATGGACCTGCCCATTCTGGACATTTCATATAAATAAAATCATCCCATATGTGGTCTTTGGTGGCTGACTTCTTTCTCTTAGCATACTCTTAAGGTGCCTCCATGTGTAGCCCACATCAGTATTCCATTTATTTTTATTGCCAAATATTCCACCGTACAGATAGACCACATTTTGTTGGTCCATTCATCTGTTGATGGACATTTGAGCTGTTTCCACTTTTGGTCACTGTGAATATTGCTGCTGGGAACGTTTGGGTCCTATGTGGCCATTCACTCATGTGACTTCAGTCTGGTAAAGTACACAGACTTCCCGTGGCTAAGATGCAGCGGAAATCTTGGTGCTTATGTTCTGTGAGAGTGAGAGAGGGTCTGGAAACGTTTCTTTATGATGGCCTAACAAGAAAGTTGACACCAAGATATTAATTTTAAATTTATAATTTAGTTTAATTTAGTAATAGAGCCACACAAGTACATTATAGTCAGGGAAGAGAAAGAAAAAAATGCCCAGGAAAATTCTTTTACCAATGATCCACCTGCTCACTTAGCCCCAGCACAGGAGCAGCACGTATACAGGCACACGCTTCACGCACTTTCCCTTCTTCCCTCCCTTCCTGCCGGTTCAGCTGTCCCAGGTTTCGGCTTCTGAACCATGGGTGATGGGCAAGACCAACAACCAGAAAGAGGAAGCCAAACCCAGAGTCAGAGCCAGGGCCAGGACACAGCCACTGCTGCTGGATTGGAAATACTGGAAGCCATCCTTGGGCCATTTGGAGATGTTAATTAGGCTGGCTAATTCCCACTGGCCTTGGGTTGCCAGTGTTGAGTGTGTGGGCTTACCCCATCCACTGCCTGCACCTGTTCCCTTCCTCAGAGCCATTCCAAGGGATCTGAATAGCCCAGACAGCTCTCTGATCTCCCACTCTGTCCGCCTTCCTGCTGGTAGGATATTTAGCACTTGCCTAAAGCTGGAGCCCTAGTCCACTCTTTCTCTCCCTCATCCATGCCAGCTCTCAAAATAATTCTCTTTCCTAATTATCTTGAACCAGCTAATCATTTTCCACACTGACTGTTCAGTAACCAGGATCCAGAGACAGGCAGCCGCGTTTCTTGTCTGACCCTGCCCAGCATCATCCCAGGTGGCAGTTCTGGATGGCAGCCTTTCCTCAGAGGCAAGAAGCTTGGTTCAAAGCCTTGCTCTCTTGCTATCCCAGTGAGTACAGCTGGAGAAAGCATGCCATAGAAAGGCCCACCAATTCCTGGAGCGCCTCTGCTAGGCGGAGCCGCACACAACACAACACATGTCCAGCCAGCCTCTTGTTTCCTGTCCTACTTTAAATCCCTGTTGATATCCAGAGTATCAGAGAAGTCATACAAGGCAGAAGAAGCAAGACATCTTTCTTCAGAAGTGACTTCTGGATTCCTCCAGCTCAACTCTGCATCTGAGCCGCCAGTTGGCCACAGTTTGGCCTTTTGGTGTCTGAGTTAAACCGTTAAGGGCTGTCCCTAAGGAGTCTTGCTCAACTGCTCTTAGATATGAGTGGGGCTGGCTTCGATTCCCAGCCCTACAAATAGGTAAAAATGACTTCGAATGTAAAACACACATTAACCCTATAACCCAGTGTCACAACTTTTTTTTTGGGGGGGGGGGGAACAGAGTTTCGCTCTGTTGCCCAGAATGTAGTGCAATGGCACCATCTTGGCTTACTGAAACCTCCACCTTCCCAGTTCAAGCAATTCTCCTGCCTCAGCCTCCTAAGTAGCTGGGATTACAGGCGCCCGCCCCCACACCCAGCTGATTTTTTAGTGTTTTTAGTAGAGACAGGGTTTCACCATGTTGGGCAGGCTGGTCTTGAACTCCTGACCTCAGGTGAGCCACCGAGCCCAGCTGTCACAACCTTTTATCCATTATCATCCTACCGTGGAGCCTTCTGAGACATTTTGGTTTCCTAATTAGTCCCCTCCCCTGAAACAGCACAGAAACACCATGTATCTGTTTACTTACAGTACTTACACATACTGTGCTGTACACATATAAAGAGTAGGCTATTTTGCCACCCCAAATTAGACTGCATGCTGTAACTTTTCTCCGAGATCCCCCAAAGGCAGCGGTTTCATCTGCTTTGGTCACCACTGTAACCCAGAGCCGAAAACAGTGCCTGGCACATATCTGCTGCCCATTTGACAAAGGGATAGGACAGTTAGGCTTTGTGTCTCTCCCCTATCCCCGCCAGGCGTCAGGTCCCTCCTGGCCGCTTCCCACCCCCCATCTCCAAGCACATTGCCCTCCAGGTGCCCTCCGCACTGCCCAGGTTGATCAGTGCCCTGTGCGTACCCCAGAGATATATCGAGAAGCTGACAGCTTACTCCTCTGCTCCACGACTGGAACCCCACCCTTTGGGAGCACTGCCGTGTGTCAAGGGCAAGTGACATTTGAGCCCCATGGAATAATCAAGGCAGCCCCCAACTGTCTCTGTCTTTGCATCTCCTTAACTCAACCATGGATTGGCAGTTACTGAGACATTCTTTGTGGTCCAGCACACCACACCAGGCTGCGTCTGGGGACACACAGGAGAGGGGCAACCCAGTCCTCATCAGCAATTACAAACAAGTCCTCCATTGTTAGCTGCGCCATCTGCTTTCTTGGTTTCTACCAATCGGGTGCCTGTACACACAGCATAACCAGGGCTGAGGGGCTGCAGAGGAGTGAGATCAAGGAGCCCCTTCATAAAGAGACCCTTTGCTCACACTGGAGGGTGTCAGTGGCATGGTGCTCTAAAAGCCGAACTTCCTCAACTCAAGGAAGACCCACGCAGATATGCTCTATGTTTGCCCTCTTCCATGAGAGGAAATGGGGGCCCTACAGCACAGTGCACTGGGGGGAATCAGAAATCTAAACGATTAAATCTTCCAGAGGATCCACGGAAAACATTCTAGTCCGTGACCAACAGTCAGCAGCAGCCCAGAACCTCTTGTGCCCAAAGAGCACAACCAAGTGTGGAGAAGGAACGGCGTTCATGGTGGGTGGGAGTCAGACCAAGGATCATACATGAGCCACGATCAGTTATTGATCCAGAATCTCCTAACCCCAAATAATTTTCTTGGGAGAAAGGGACAATTTTCATCAATAGATTGGAAAAGATGTCTCCATAGAAGTGCACATTTCTTTCATGGAGCCTTGGCTAAGAGAATGTTAGTGGTCTCCTCCTGATGGCTGCTGGAGCCACCATCTTAGAAGTTTGCCCCTGTCACTGTGCCAACCTTGGCAGAGGGGGTCAGCAGAAAATCCATGTTTACAACTGTGGCTGTGCAGAGAATGGTCCACATCGCTGATGAATGTCCTTTGTTGGGATTTGATGGTTGTCTAGTGACACAGAATTCAGGAGAGTTGTGGGGGCTGAGAGTTCAGGAGAAGCTACTGCCTGATGCAGAAAGAGGATGCATTCACCAAGGAAACCCCGCTGTAGAAAATAGGATGGTGTGAAAGGGGTGGAAGAACCTGTCACAAAGCATAGAAAAGCTAAGATCCCCCTCAGTTCTGGGTGACGGCTGAGACCCTGCTGCTCTGTGGGTGAGAGTGACCTTATGGTCCAATTTTCCCGCTCCAGGGTCCCCTCCCAAGCTTTCCTCTGCACAGGATGCTGTGTGTCCCCTCCCTGAGGACTGTCACATTGCAAGTGACACCAGTATTAACACACTGTGCGTAACTCAGAAACCTGTAAAATGAAACTTGGAGACATGTAAACTTGCCCACCTAGGGGGTTTCAATTATTTTTTCAGGTCATCCATTGAATTTCAAATGCTTGTCTTGAAAACACTTTTATCTTTGTATTTAAAACAAAATCAGTCAGGAAAAGTTGGAGAGCAGGAAAAGGATATAGCTGTCAGTGCGGTTCAGCATCTGTAGGGCTCCTGACAGGGTCTGCATGCATAGACCCTGGGAGTGTTAATGTCTCTCTCATTTCACATTTGCAAACATGACATCGGCTTCTATTTTGTCCTATCAAGTAGCATTTTCAAGTGAGTTTTCAGTTTTTACTGATTGACAAGGCTGCAAAACTGCTTGGGCAGCTCAGGGATAAATGTATTATTAGCACTGTGTTAATGATCAAGTTGGAGCTGTGGGCTGCTGTGTGTGTATTCACTCGATTTTGTGTTCTTTCCCTTCAGATTAAAACACGTAAAGGTCTCATTACAATATTTGAGCAAGGTAAGACAGACACTTCAGTGGATTTGTCCAGCCACCCTGCTATGGGGAGGGGGTGGGACTTTTCTAACCGGCTGCCCTTGGTAGCGGACCCTGTATCGGTGCTCCTCGCCCTCCTGGGCCTTCCCCTCCCGAGCGGCCCTGCCCGCACTCCTGCCCCTGCATGTCTGTGCTGCCCGGGGAAGCCCAGCCTTGCCTTTCTTCTGCCCGTGCACTCGGGGAAGAATCCGACACCAACACCTGCTATCCCGGAAAATGTCTTTGTCACCTACCCTTTTGTGTGTGGGGCTGTAGGGGGCCGGTGGGCACGGGGGCCACCCGCTTTTTTGTTGCCCAGGCCTGGAGGAACAGGGTCTTGAGATGGGCCGATAAGACACAGCACGTGCTGGGCCGGCCTTTGGCCGCCAGCCTTAAAGGAGGCCTCTGAGGCCTCCACGCGGGGAGGGCAGGTTGTGGCAGGGGCTGCTGAATGGAACAGCTGGGGAAGGAAAAGCAGATAAAAGCTGTGGAGTGCAGAGGGTGGAGACCCAGGGATGCGCTGCGGTCTGGAACCCAGAGGATAGGCTAGCCGTGGCAGATGTGACCTCCCCAGCCCGCCTTTCTGTCCTGGGTCTGGGGTCCAGGCCCTGCCTGCGGCGCTCTGATGGATGGTGGCTGCCTTGGCAGGGCTGTCTGAAAACCCTGTCCCGTGTGGCCCGGGCTGCACCACCTCCCAGGCTCACAGGTGGAAGGCAAGCAGTTGGTAATGACAAGGATCATGGCAGTGCCCTTCACAGGAGAAAGCAAGTGAGCGAGCTGTCGTTCATGAGCCTGTCACCCACAGTGGAATGCAAAGCACAGAACCAGTCACTTTGTCTCAGTAAATATGGAAGTGGGATGTTAGGGTCCAAATTTGTTGGTTTATCCAAACCTTCACCCTCCTCTGCCAGGCAGGGCTGTTGGACCTGCAGGCCAGAGGAGCAGCCGGCGCCATAGCCAGCTGACCCTCCAGCCAGCTGCCCTTTCTCTTCCCCTCACCCATGGCTTAAGCCCAGGCCTGGTATTGTCCCAAACTGGGCTCACTTGTGTCAGCCCCAGCAGGTGACACGAGCCTCAGAGCCCAGGTGCTCATGTCAAGATGGGGCAGAAGAGGGCTGTCCGGTCCCCTCTGAACAGCGCACTTTGCTGCAAAGCTTTGCATTTGCTGAGACCCCCGTGTCCATGCATGTTCTGCTCCTGCTGCCAAAGTCGGGAGGTGAGGTTCGAGTGTCCTGTGAATAAATCCATGGCTTCCATCACCGGGAAGAGGCAGTGCGAGTGGAACCACAGCTGCGAGTGGACGTGTCGTATCAGGAAGGCGGCCCTACCTTGTGTCCTGCCTACCCTTCCGGCAGCTGCCACCTCCCCACCACAGGGTGCTGTGGCATGAGGGCCCAATGCAGATGAGGATGTCCCAGCGGAAAGCTGGGGACCAGAGGCATGTGTAGGGCACTGTGGCACTGGCTCCAGCCCAGCTGCAGGAGTGGCTTTGCCCTTTGCCCCGGCCATGGGATCCCTGCTTTCAGGTGCACAGGCCCCCTTCTCTGCAGAGCTTCCTGCACTTCTCCAGGCTCACTCAGCGGGACAAAGCTGGCGTCCCTCTGTCCATCTGCAGGAACTCGTGGTGCACCCTCTTTCCCTCTTTATCTTCCCTGGGTGAGTGGGTGGGGCAGAGGAACTAAAATGTTTTCCTTCAAATCCAGAATTAGCAAAGGTTCGCGTTTTCTCTTTGGATCTCACTTTATATCTTTCATTTACTTGCTTTTTCTTTTTTTTTCTTTTTTTTTTTTTTTGGTCCTTTATTCTAATCCATCTGATCACCATAGTGGGCTGGGTTGTTGGAATATTGTCTGGGATTAAATCAAGTCTGTTCTCCCACGCTGCCCCATACCCTGGATTAAATGCCAGTGCCCACCACCAGCTACAAGGGGATAGAGAGATGCCTCGTAACAATCCAGCTTCTCTTGTGGATGATGGTCTAGCTGTGCTGCCTTTGTCAGAAGCAGCCTGTTTTTGTGTTCTGGGGTTTTTCTTGTGTGGTGTTTTTTTTGAGACTGGGTCTCACTTTGTCACCTAAGCTGGAGTACAGTGGTGCTATCACTGCAGCCTTGACCTCCCAGGCTCAAAATCCTCTCACCTCAGCCTCCCAAGTAGCTGGGACTACAGGTGTGCACCACCACGCCTGGATACGTTTTGCAGTGTTTTTGTGGAGCTGGGGTTTCACTATATTCCCAGGCTGGTCTGGATCCCCCCACTGCGCCCGGCTGCAGCCTGTTTTAAAGATGAGAATAGTGGGCCTTCTCTGTTTGCCCGACCTTACCGAGCCGAGAAGAAGGGAGGCAACAGTGAAGCCCCTGGACTCCGAAAGTACTGAATTTCAGAACACCCTGAGCCAGGTTACTGCCATAGGTCCAAGCATGTTTGCAAGTATTGATTTTGGAAACTCTTCCTAGAAACAAGAAGGTAAGTTCAGAGAATGAAAAAAGATGCTGTCTGTGAATACAATAACCTACTTAAATGAATTTCAAATGCCACTAATAATAATACTTTCAAAGGCCAAAGCCCTGCAAGTGAATCATGCAGGGAGGAAGATGTGGAAACTCTGCTTTTGAGGTTTGTTCCCAGCAGAGGTCATGCAGGAAACTTGGGGCATAATACAACAGGGTTTAAAAATACGCTACAAGGGGAAGGGTGATGAAACGATCCTCTCACTGGCAGAACGGCCCTAGGGGAGACCCAGCTCCACCCGCAACAGTGGCTCGGTGTTGCAGCAGGCATTCTTGTATTCCTCTGAGCACACCGACGGCAGCCCTGGGGAAGCGTGGGATGCAGATGCGCAGGTTTTAATTTTATTCCTTCTCCCTCTGGTGCTGAACAGCTGTATGCTCATCTGGACTCATTCAGACAAGCAATTTAGTCCTGACCTCTAGTCTTAGGCCCTTTGGGGAATAATTGAGTTGTAACTCATTGTGTAGAATATTGATATGTAAACAAGTGGAGATTCCAGGAACACCGCCAGGGATCTGCAGAGCGTCCTCTGAAGTTTCACGGGCTTTTCCATTGACTCCAGCCACTGCTTCTTCAGTGGCTCTTCCTCCCTTTCACTATGACCAGATGCCTTTTCTCTTCATTCTTTACTTATGAATTGGACAGTAAGTCTGAATTAATTTCACAAGATCCATAGCTTCTTTTATGCTGCAGAAAAGCCCAGAGCAAAGAATAAGAAGAAAGACATTCATGTATTTATTCATTCAACAAACATCTTTGCCGGCATAGCGTGGGAGGAGGTCACCAGACCCTTCTCCTGGGAATTTCCCTCCCTTCCGAGTGCCACAGATCCTCCCTGAATTGTGTGGCCGTAGAGCCTCCATTGCCTCCATGACTTAGCAGTTCTCTGCTTCCTTTGCAGGGGCCCTGGCCTCCAGTCTGAGTGCTGACCTCGAAGAGCCCCTGAGTGAGGAGGAGACAGAACACCCTCTCCTGCCTCTGCCCCAAGCCACTAAACCCAGAATCTCCAGGAAATTTCATTGCTGTACTAGTGCCCTCAGCAGGTCTTCCCATTAGTGGACTTCTGAAGCCCATGGTGAATCCCACTACAGCATCTCAGATGGGACTCAAACTAGGCTGTATCATCTTGTCCTGAAACCTCACAAACCTTGGACTTCCAAAGAAGAAACGAAAATGTCACCAAAAACCAGAGATGAACCCACTGTTACATGGGCATTGGTGTGGCTGCTCTGGGCAGATCACAGCAGGAAAAGATTCTGCGCTTTCAGGGAAGGGCGGAGGGCAGCTGGCTTCTGCACCCCAAGTTGTTTCTTCTCATTTATGAACCCAAGTGTGATTCACAGAGGGGCTGGCGAAACCATTGTCTGACTGAGGAATTCTATCTGCATTGATTTTGCTAGTTCCTTTTAAGTTAGGATTTATGGTTTACTCAAAACTTTCATCATCGTGGAAATTGGCTTTCCCCAGGGTCTTTTGCCCAGGAGATGTTTTACCTCAGTTGTCCAGTGTTGTTCCACCTGGTACCTGACGCCCTCTAACTGAGCGAGGTTCTGCTTACCACGCAGAGGCCCTTCAGGTCGTGACGGTGATGCCCCTATCTTAGAACACTCAGAAGATTCCAGAAATACAGGGTCCTGTCCTTGCATAAGTTCCTGCAGGACAGGAAGTGTCCCAAGGCTCAAAACAGCACAGACCACATCCACACAAAAGGCGCATGCCGGCTTCAGGCGCTAGGCTGAGCTGGGTACCCCCCGAATGGCCTTGTGCCTCCAGAAGCCTCACACTGCAACTTGGCTCCTATCTGTTGCCCAGAGAGGCCTCAGACAGGCCTCGGAAATGTTTCTTGTCACACAAAGCTTTTGGTAGCAGATTCTAAGCAAGGGATTTAATCCTTATATTTTTCCCATTTGGCTCCAAGGAAGGCACATTAGACCTGGTTTTTTTTTTTTTTTTTTTTTTTTTTTCTTTCTTTTTAAAAAAATGAATGAATGAATTAATTAATTAAAGAAAAGAGAAGCAATGGTAAGCCCTCTCCTGCTGCGGGGCACTGGGTGGGCCCTGCCCGTCCTGCAGCAGAGAAATCAGTCAGCAGTGAAGAGCTGCTGGCGCGGACCCTGGGCTCTGCCCTGGACCCTTGACCTGCCTCAGAGCTAGAGGTTTGCTCCACCCCGCACTTCACTTGGGAAGTAAATCCGAGAAACTCATCAGAGTCAATCCCCACTGCGCAGGCTTTGTTCTCACAGTGGCTGGGGAGAGAGCAACGCCCTGCAGTGGGAAGGGAGAGCAGCACGAGAGACACAGCCCCTAACTCGGCGTAAAATGGGTGGGCCAGTCCTGGGAAAGGTGGGCCCTGTGCATGAGGTCTCCCCGCCATCCTCTGCCCTCTGCCCTCAGCCCTTGCACACACTTGTTACCTTCAGGCTGCTTGGCCACCCAGGCCTGAAGAAGCCTTCTGAGGCTCTCACCCCATCAGAGCAGCCATTTTCACTGAGGAGCCAGTTTTTTCCATTAGGTATTGAGCTGGTTTGGCTGGAACCTGGCCTTTGTAGAGAGAACGGGAAGACCCAGGAGCCAGACTCATTCTTAGGACAAATGAGAAACGGCTGACCCGGTCATTCTGAGGGAAGGGCGGGCCTGCTCATCCTGGAGAGAATTTGCTTTTCTGCTTTATAGGGGATTGCAGGTAGCACTTGAGGCCAGGCCACTGATAGGAGCACCTTGAGAATCACCTGAACACAAGAGAATGAGGGTGCCCCAAAGTGGAAGGAAGCTTCCAGCTCCTGGGCTGTTTTGGGAAGGGCCCAGGGTACTTACGGGGCCAGAAGGGCAATGTGAAGAGTGACTGCAAGCCCTGGCATTTTCTGTGGTGTCAGCAAACGCCCCTTTATTTTAAATGATTCCAGACTTCTGGGCCGTGTCGCTTGGCCACCGTCACTCAGGCTTGATCCTGCTGTTGAGCTGCTCCTGTCTCCTGTTTACCTCACTCCTGTTGGGAAGGCCATCGCATGCTCCTAGGCTCCAGAGTCCCCTGTAGGTCTCTACCAGCAGGTCGCCTCTGGGAGAAATTTCATCTTCAGGCTCTAGAAGCTCCTGTTGCAGAATTCCTGGCTGTAGTAGAAAAGATATGTCAGGATTTAGAAATCGTATTTAACTATCCTGGACTTCTGTTCCATGATTTCATTTTGCTTCCACGAACCAGCCATCCCGACCTTGGGGTGGGAAATTCAGTGGTAGGCAGCAAATAACTCAACCTTCCTGTAACCCCTGAGGACCTCACGACCCCAGATGACAGCCAGCAGTTTGGTGAGTGGAGTTTTTTTTTGAGCCCGCCGTTCTCCGTAGCAGCTTTGGTCTGGAGATTTGGAATATGGAGCCGGGAATCTGACAGCCACGTTTCTCGTGGTCACATGGACTGGAGTCGTTTTTGTTATTTGGGGTGGAAAATTGCAATGATCAAGCTTCTTTTTTTTTTTTTTTTTACTTAGAAAAGCAAATATTGTGTTTTTGTAATAAATCCCGTTCAGCAAAATTGTGGCGGATCATTCATCCAGTAGGGCCCCACCTGAGGCACAGCGCCGACTCATCACGGTGGTACCAGTGGGTCAGCCATCTGGAAACAGAAGTGGCCCTAATTGGGCCAAAATGGGGTAAGACTCGCTGGCCTCAGCCAGGGCCAGGCCAGCTTCCTCACTTCTCTGCGCACCTGTTCCCAGAGTCCATCCAGAGCAAAGCTGATGTTTATAGTCTCATTGTACTTAGGCTTTTGTACTTTAAAAAATTACAACTTTTTAAAAATAATCAAGCCTTCAGCAGACAGAAGTGAAGACATTTAGCCTGGGTTGCCTCAGCAACAAAGTCTGCAGTTCCTAAGAGCCACATGTTGGGGAAGTGGGGTGACCCAAACTTGGTGACATGGGTTGATTGATCAGACCCTTAGCCTTACAAACAAGAGCTCATGCAGATCCACAGAGCCCTGCACATCCTGTCTTCCTGGCCTTCCTCAGGTGGCACCACCTGCGCCCCACGGACCTGCTGTATTGGTGTCGTGTGGAGGTCTGATGAATCCTTTAAAACCTAACTGTGATGTCGTAAATGTAACTGTGCTACCTTTATATCTACTGAAGGGGAATGTCTGCATCCGAGGGAGATTCAACAGGAAACAACCATCGTTTTAGTTGCACTCAGTCTGTCAGTATGACATACACATGAAATGAATGTTTCCCTATGTTTTCAGGTCTACAATGTTTAGTACATGTAAATAAGGAAAAAAATTGATAAATACGGTAAATTAAGTTATAGCGTGTCATTTGATTCTTATTTTGCTGTCTCTTGTTATTTAATTTTCCTAATGCTCCACATCTAGGTTCCTTCCTAGGTGGTAGGAACACCTTGCAGACATGTGTGTGCGCCAGGACACACCACGGCACAGGCAGCCACGGCGAGAAAGCACACATCTCCGCAGATGGCTGCCACCCGACTCTCCAGTTAACCTCTTTTACTCTTTAATTCTGATTTACTGTGATGATTTCATAAAATGGAAACACAGCACTTCAGTGCTATATGTTTCTGTCATTCTCATTATAGTTTATAAGAAAATAAAGTTTACCCTGGCATCTAATAAAGAAGTGGTTTTCATTTTTATTGGACAGAATTGTTTGAAAGCATATTTTAACTAAAACCTAAACATGTATCCAAAATGGTAGCTGGTACCTGTGCGGGGAAGCTTACCAACATGTTTATGTAAAATTGACCTCATTTCCTAACATGGAATGCTGAGATCCAGTCACAGGAGGCTCTGAATCCAAGCATCATGGTTCCAATCTACTTAAATCGCTTTCTCTCTCCATGAGTAAAGGGCTGGGTCAGTATCGCCTGCTACCGTAACATCCATCCAAGCCCGCAATGAAATGTGCCCCTTGCTCCATCTCTCCAGGGCAGCCCCCTTCTAGCGGTCAGGAGCCCCTGTCCCTGATGAACAGGAGGCAGCCTTAGAGGTGAGTAAGTGATAGGATGTGATACGGTCTCCTGTTGGTGTGGCTGAAGCCGGCTGATGCCCGTCTAAGGACTCCAGCCATCTCATGACAGCCTGGCCGGGTGGCCTCTGCCAGCATCGCAGGCTACTCATGCGCTAGGCAGCAGTGACCTTTCGGGTCATTGTATTAGAAGTCTGCAAAAATCATCCATTTGTCCAGTTAGCAAATATTTTTTCAGTACCTAATACTTACAAAACATGGCTGTGACCTCCCAAATGGTCTGGGTGCCTTCTTGGGAGTCAAGCAGACCCTAAATTCAATGTCTAGCTTTTCACTGATAACAAGAGCTTGCTTAATGGTACGTCCTGCTTCTAATACTTGGTACCTCATCGAATGAAGCTTGATGTGGAGTTTTAGAGCTTTGTGGCCTGGATGCAGTGGGTCCCACCCAGTGCATCCGCAGCGTTGAAGAATCTTCATAAGTCAAATGCAGGTTCCTGACCGCTGCCGACTCTGACCTACCAGGTCTGGGCTAGAACCTCAGCATCTCCACTTTTTAAAGCTACCCAGAGGACCTGCAGGTAGATCTGGGTTGAGGGGCTGGGCCAGCCCCCTCGGGAATGGTCTGGGCAGCTCATCCCCCACCTGCACTGAGGGAACATCGGAGAGCACTCCCTGCAGGACAGCTCTTCACTCTACAGCTGCTCCTAGGAGCTGCGTTTCTGCCGCTCACTAATGACTCGGTGTCATAGGTGATAGGTCAGCTATGGAAATGGTTATTTGAAATTCAAAGGATGTTTTTCTCAAAGTCTTAAACGGTTTACTTTTTTATATCCTTGTTTTTGTTTTCACCAAATCGTTTTCTCTGCTACACTTTTTATTTGTGGCAGAATGATGACAGGGTGGGGAGACATTCCAGTCCATCATGCCTCCTATAAGTGATCAGGTCACCTTAAGAAAGTACTCATCAAATCTTGGGCCATATTAAGCAAAACCTTCAGCAGAATTCCAAAGAACAATACAACTTCCAGTGCTTCCAAAAGGACCATTGCTACAAGGCCCTGATAGGTCTTTTGGGGCTTCTGCTAGGTACCAGAATTGAAAGCAAGAATATTTTTTAAGGTACACCTAACCATAGTCTAATTCTCTAAGTGTTCCAGGAAAAAACACCAGTTATTTATGCCTCCT